GGTTGTGTTTGTGTGTGACGTTACTAGAAAACGATAAGAATTAAAAATGTATTGTCATAAAATGCGACAAAAAAAAAAGTCCAAGAAGGCAAGAACTCGTGAATATAATGCCGTAAATTAATAATGTAACTCATTAAAAAATGTAAGTGTAAAGTCCATGGGTTTCAAATTAGTGTCCACACTTTGGATATTTAATTTGACTATATTAGGTTTGCATTTTGGATTGGCATCTAGCCTTTGGAGATTGGTCGATCGTAAACTTTTTTTTTGTTTTATGTTATAGATTCGATACTTATGTATTGGTCAATAATCGATATAATGGATGACAAAAAAAATGAAATTTTATGTATATGTGACCCCTAAAATAGTACTTTGTAATATATTTTCTAATTTAATGTAAATTAAATTTCGAACAAAATCCAATTGCAAACGTTCTGGTGTAACATATTCGAACTTTTTTTAGTGATCACCTCTGATTTTTATAAATGTAAACACGGCTCTGATTGTATCCAATCCTATGTCATCAATGAATATTCCTGGCCTAAAATTGTAGCGTTTTATAATATACAACTCTATTCATTATCTATTTATCTTATACAATCACGTATTATTAATTTTAATTGGTATTTTTACATTTAGTGAACAACTTCGACCTATAAAAGCCACTTCTTAATTACCTTTCTTTGGAGTTAAATATTTTTCAATTGAAACATGTTTCGTGCCTATCAGGTTTATCAAATGTGGATAAGATCCGAACGAAATATAACCTCTAAGAGTAGTTCATACGGGTATATATAATTGTAGTGTTCTAGAGGAAAAACCAATATATTAAAGGAGTAGAATATTGACTAAGAGTCTTTAAATCCTTAATCTTAATGCTTTCCATGCTCCAATTAAGAAACCACTTTCCAATTAGACATATAATAATAGCTTCTTGGGAATAATCATTGCAATTGATTGGCTGGTTTTCAAAATAATAGAATTAACCGAAGACTAGAACTTCTAATTTATTTATGACTCGAGACAGAGAGTTAGTGAGATTTAGGCATGTGCTTGCTTCATCATTGGCTTTAGTAATTCATAAAGTTTCATTCCAACAAATATAATTGTCAGCTTTGCCGCCACTTTTCATGGTCTTTTAATTGTTCGACATAACAAAAAAAAAAAAAAGATTTTCTGGATTTTCATCTAACAAAAAAAAGTTTGATCAAACTAAGCTTCTAGATCGATCTAGTTATTTTATAAAAATA